TGGGTGGGTTGTGGGGTGGGGGTGGGGGGGGGTTGTGGGGGGGTTGTGGGTTTGTGGGGTGGGGTTATGGGGTGGGGTTGTTGGGGGGGGGGTGGGTTGGGGGGTGGGGGTTGTGGGTGGGGTTTTTGGGGGGGGTTGTGGGGGGGGGTTGTGGGGTTTGGGGGTTTTTGGGGTAGGGGTTTTTTGGGGTGGGTAATGGGGGTGGGTGTGGGGGGGGGGGGTGGGGGGGGGTTATGGGGGGGTTGTGGGGTGGGGTTTTGGGGGGGGGGGTGTGGGGTGGGGTTGTGGGGTGGGGGTTTGGGGGTGGGGGTTTGTGGGTGGGGTTGTGGGGGGGGGGTTGTGGGGTGGGGTTGGGGGGTGGGGTTTGGGGTGGGGGTTGTGGGGTGGGGTTGGTGTGGGGTGGGGGTTTGGGGTTTGGGGGTGGGGTTGTGGGGTGGGTTGTGGGGGGGGGTTGTGGGGGGGGGGGGGTGGGGTTGGGGGGTTTGGGGTTTTTTGTGGATGGGGTTGTGGGGGGGTTTTGGGGTGGGGTGGGGTGGTGGGGGGTTAGTAGGTGGGGGTGGGGGTGGGGTTAGGGGGTGGGGGTTTTGGGTGGGGGGTTGTGGGGGGGGGGTTGTGGGGTGGGGGGTTAGTGGGGGGGTTGGGGGTTGGTTGGGGGGTGGGGTTGTGGGGTGGGGGGGGAGGTGGGGTTGTGGGGGGGGGTTGGGGGGGGTGGGGGGGTTGTGGGTGGGGGTTTGGGGGGTGGGGTTTGGGGTGGGGTATGGGGTGGGGTTTGTTGTGGAGATGGGGGGGTTTGGGGGGGGGTTGTGGGGGGGGTTTTGTGTTGGGGGTTTGTGATGGGGTTGTGGGGTGGGGTTGTGGGGGGGGGTTGTGGATATTATGGGGGTAGTTTGAGGGGGGGTTTGGGGGTGGGGTTTGGGGGGGGTTGTGGGGGTGGGGGAGGGGGTGGGAGTTAGGAGGGGGGTTTTGGGGGGGGGTTTGTGGGGTGGGGGTTATGGATGGGGGGTTTTGGGGGGGGTTTTGTGGAGGGGGGGATGGGGTGGGGGGTTTGTGGGGGGGAGTTTTTGAGGGGGGGGGTGTGGGGTGGGGTTTGGGGGGGGGTTTTTAAGTGGGGTTATAGGGGGGGGTTTTTTAAGGGGGGGGGGGAGGTGGGGGTTGTGGGGGGGGGGTTGTGGGTGGATTTTGGGGGTGGGATGTGGGGTGGGGGGGTTAGGGAGTGGGTTTTAAGTTTTATTTTTTTGGGTTTTTGGGGGGTTGTTTAGGTGGGGGTTGGTGGTTTGGGGGGGGGTTTTTGGGGGTGGGGTTTGTGGGGGGGGTTTTTTTGGGGGGTTTTGGGGTTTTTGGGGGGGGTATGAGGTGGGGGGGGGGGTGGGGGGTGGGGTGGGGGGGGGGTTGTGGGTGGGGGGGTGGGGTGGGGTTTGGGGGGGGTTTGGGAGGGGGGGGTTTTGGGGGTGGGTTTTGGAGGGGGGGTTTTTGGGGGGTTATGGGTTTGGATTTATGGGGTGGGGTTTGGGGGTAGTTTGTTTTTGGGGGGGGGGTTTTGGGGGTAGTGGAGGGGGGGGTTATGGGGGGGGAGTTAGTGGGGGTGGGGTTGTTGGGGGGGGTTTGGGGGTGGGGGTTGTTGGGGTTTTTTTTGGGGGGTTTTTGGGGGGGGGGGGGGTTTTTGGGGGGAGGGTTGTGGGGTGGGGGTTGGGGGTGGGGTTGTGGGGTTTAGGTTAGTGGGTGGGGGTTGTGGGGGGGGTTTTTGGGGGGGGGTTTTGGGTGGGGTTGGGGGTTTGGGGGTTGGGGGTGGGGTTGTGGGGTGGGGGTTGTGGAGGGTGGGGTTGTGGGGGGGGTTTGTGGGTGGGGTTGTGGGGTGGGGGTTGTGGGGGGGTTTGGGGTGGGGTTGTGGGGGGGGGGGTTTGGGGGGGGGTTGTTGGGGTTAGTGGGGGGGTTGTGGGGTGGGGTTTTGGGGGTTGGGGTTTTGGGGTGGGGTTTGGGGTGTGGTTTTGTGGGGGGGTTGTGGGGTGGGGGTTGTTGGGGGGGGTTATGAAAGGTGTGGGGGTTTTTGGAGGGGGGTTGTGGAGGGGGGGTTGGTGGGTGGGGGTTAGTGGAGGGGGTTTGAAAGGTTTGGGGTTGTGGAGGTGGGGGTTAGTGGAGTGGGGTTATGGAGGTGGGGGTTATTGGGGTGGGGTTGTGGAGGTTTGGGGGTTGTGGGGTGGGGGTTTTTTTTTAGGTGGGTTTAGTGGAGGTGGGGTGTGGGGTGGGGTTTTTGTGGGGTTTTTGGGGTAGGGGGGAGGTGGGGGGTTAGTGGGGTGGGGGTTGTGGGGTTTGGGGGTTGGGGGTGGGGGTTGTGGGGTGGGGGGTTTTAGGTGGGGTTTTGTAGGTGGGGGTTTTTTGGGGGGGGTTGTGGGGGGGGTTTTTGGGTGGGGGTTGGGGGTTTTGGGGTTTTGATTGGGGGTTTATGGGGGTGGGTTTTGGGGTGGGAGTAGTGGATGGGGTTGTGGGGGGTGGGGGTTAGTAGGAGGGGTTAGGAAGGTGGGGTTTGTGGAGGGGGGGGGTTTTTGTGAAGGGGGGGGTTGTGGATTGGGGGGTTTTTGAAGGGGGTGGGGGTTGTGGGTTTGGGGAGTTATAGGTGGGGTTAGTGAAGGGGGGGGTTAGTGGGGTGGGGGTTAGGGGATGGGGGTTTGTGGAGGGGGGGGGTTATGAATGGGGGTTTTTTAAAGGGGGGGTTAGGAAGGGGTTGGAGGTGGGGGTTGGGGGAGGTGGGGAGTTCGTGGACGTGGGAAGTTAGTGTATAGCAGCCGACGGCTGATATCAGGCTGGTCACCTGCTATGTTAACGTTGCTCTGTCCATCAAATTGAAGAGAAAAGTAAACATTTGTTAAAGGAATGTCAACCTTCCATCAATAATATGAAACAAAAGTCGAGGCTCAAATTACACCTTAGTAGACAGCGTCTATATGGACTGTAAGAGCGTCTGTTCTTTGTCATCTTATCTTGTACTAAACAAAACTATGTACTTATGCAACATTTGGAAATGCCTATTACTGAAAAGTTTGGCCAGCAGCCAGTGTCACAAGTGTCTCATTCTTCAATTTGTCGGTTTACTAAAACATTTACATCAAAACTGTGTACACATGAAGTGTGGTAAGCGTGTTTCACACGACAGTGATGAACTGACCAACACTTGGGGATCTTTATTGTGGAAACGTTTCACCAACCAGTGACTTCCTCAGCTCAATACAGAGAAGAGTTGTTGAAGATCAGGAGTTTGTGGTAATGAATCCCTCACCTTGGAGTCGATGTGATCAATCTTGATAAGAGTACAGCAAATATGCCAAGGAAAATATATATATGTTATATATATATATATATCTATATATATATATATATATATATATATAATATATATATATATATTTTAAAAATATATAAAATATATAATATATATATATTTTAAAAAATATATATATATTAAATAATATATATATATACTGAGACAGGGAGATGAAGCAGTCGTGAACACTTACACAGCAAGAGCTATTTTCCTTGTCGTATTCCATCATACAAGATGGACTTCGAATACTGGGTAAATGGAGGTTATCAACTTGAGCACTGAGACCTCAGCAGTGCAAAAGAAAATACCCCCCAGAATTCTTTAAGAATTCAGTAGCCATGGAAGCTTAAAAACGTTATCTTTCAGTAGATGAGGAGACATTATTTCATGGGAATAACTGTCTTTTAGGAATACTTATACAACTCACGGAAAGAGGAAGAAAGAATTTATGAACATACGTTGATTGTATTTCAGAGATTTACAAGCGTAATGCTGACACTTACGGATATGAACACACAGATTCTAGGCAGTGCTCTTCATGATAAGTGTGGCATCATTTCACTTCATCAAATGGTCGTGGTACGTCTTGCCATCAGTCCTGTCACGACCATTTTATGGAGTGGAATGTCAAACTTGTGGTCATAAGTCTTACCACGAGGCCTTGATGAAGTGGAATGGTGTCACTTTTATTAGGTATGACTGTGAACACATTACATGCTCAGGTTTTCGTTGGGTCATCATTTCTCTAGAGTTTGATGAAACTGTTTCCTGGACAAAACGTTAAGATAAAATTTGTTCGGATTTTTAACCTGGGGGAGAGTTAACCATCCAGGATAACCCAAGAAAGTCAGTGTGTCATCGAGGACCACCTGTCTTATTTCCATTGTGGCCCTCTAATCTTGTATCCGAGGATGCGACCCACACCAGTGTATAGCATACTGACATACATACATACTGAACATCAAAATGGTATACAATACCGACAGGTTGGTAGGTAAGACACATATGGAACAGTTAGGCAACTTTATTCCGAAACGTTTCGCCTACACAGTAGGCTTCTTCAGTCGAATACAGAAAGTAGGCAGGAACAGTAGAGATGTGAAGACGATGTAATCGGTCCATCACCCTTGAAGTCGTAGAATTTGAGGTTGTCAATCCCTCGGCCTGGAGAAGTTCAGTTCCATAGTCAGGAACTATCTGAAGATCTGATCTTCAGATAGTTCCTGACTATGGAACTGAACTTCTCCAGGCCGAGGGACTGACAACCTCAAATTCTACGACTTCAAGGGTGATGGACTGATTACATCGTCTTCACATCTCTACTGTTCCTGCCTACTTTCTGTATTCGACTGAAGAAGCCTACTGTGTAGGCGAAACGTTTCGGAATAAAGTTGCCTAACTGATGCCTATGTGTCTTACCTACCTACATACATACTGACTGTTAGGTGAACAGAGACAGCAGGTGTAAGGAAGCATGTCCAACGTTTCCACTCGGCCGGGTACTGAACCAACGCGAGAACGTTGCCCACCAAGCTTGTTCTATACACTGGGTTTCCATACCCATCCATGCAACATAACCAGCGTTCTCATCTCTCACATTATCAGGGAACAGAGAAATCACGAAAACGCTTAGAATACTACTACTACGCTTACGCTGTGATTTTATTGCATATTAAGATATCACCTATTTTTGTGATCCTGTACCTGTTGTGTGTGGTGGGTAGAGAGTCATGTAGAGGGCAGGCCCTGGCAGGGGACCACTGCAGGCGATGCTGGCGAACTCGGCATCTCTCTCCTTCCTCTCCATCGCTTGTTCCTCGGCTACTGGTGACGTGAACACACCCAACTCTTCCACCGCATCTTTCTCACTGTCCCTGCTCTCCTCTTTCTCTCTTCCAGCAGCGATCTGGACCTCCTGGCGGTGATATGAGCCTTTTAAATATTTTAACCTTCCTGGATAGTCTGGTGAGTTTTGGCCTCTCTGCCCGGTTCCCATCTCCACAAGAACGAGTTCACACTCTCCAGTTATGCTATACGCAAGAAACTGCGTTAATACTAGCAGATACAAAATACACAAGCAATGACAATGGACACAAAACAATCAATAACAATAAAACACATGCAATATCGATAAACACATGCAGTAACAAGAGGCATGCAATAACAATAGCTATAATACTCAAAGAAAAACACTAGAAACAAGGAATAACAAGATACAAACAACAGCAACACTCAACACCAACAGCTTCACCATTAACAATTTCTGTGTACCTTTTTGAGGAACTGTAGCAAGTGGTGAGATATCCGCATGTTGGACACACCATCAGTGATCACATGACTGAAACCGAAAATAACAATATATTTGTGGTCTGCTTCGACACCCTTGCTCTCATGGTTACAGACGACGTCCATCTTCCGGGAATCCAGAATCACGCCATCGCTGGAAGGCAAAATATTACCTCCTGGAAAAACTGGAGGAAGGTGTCTGGAACTCGTGCTGTTGTTGTCCTTAGAAACCAAATCAAACTGATTGCAGTTCCCACGTTTTTCCTGATTGTTACCATCTTCCTCAGTACAAGAGTAGTAGTCTAGTGGGATGATCTTCGGGCGGGTGCGGGTAGGAGTCGTCAATGTTGTGCTGGAGGTTGAGATAACGGACACACCATACGGGTGCTCGGTGCAAAGAGTACGCCCGGTGCAACACTTGACGGTACACATCGGAGAACCTTCGATCCCGCACTTCCTGCAGGTCTAGGAAGGCTGTGGTGGTCTCTGGGCGGTAGAACCAGAGGTTGTTGGTCTTTGGGTTCGTCCTCACACAGAGTTGTAAGCTCGGCACAGCCCTAAGAACAAGGTGGACGTGGAGAGTCAATAATTACCAATAAAGCTTGTTTCTCTCCCATTCTATAGGATATTCAATAAATATGATACCTGAAATACATTTTAGCATGCAACTTAAAAGTATCTCTCTCTCTCTCTCTCTCTCTCTCTCTCTCTCTCTCTCTCTCTCTCTCTATACTAACATTAACTTACAATAACAGGTATACTAACATTAACTTACAATAACAAGTATACTAACATTAACTTACAATAACAGGTATACTAACATTAACTTACAATAACAGGTATACTAACGTTAACTTACAATAACAGATATACTAACATTAACTTACAATAACAGGTATACTAACATTAACTTACAATAACAGGTATACTAACATTAACTTACAATAACAGGTATACTAACATTAACTTACAATAACAGGTATACTAACATTAACTTACAATAACAGGTATACTAACGTTAACTTACAATAACAGATATACTAACATTAACTTACAATAACAGGTATACTAACATTAACTTACAATAACAGGTATACTAACATTAACTTACAATAACAGGTATGCTAACATTAACTTACAATAAACAGGTATACTAACATTAACTTACAATAACAGGTATACTAACATTAACTTACAATAACAGGTATACTAACATTAACTTACAATAACAGGTATACTAACATTAACTTACAATAACAGGTATACTAACATTAACTTACAATAACAGGTATACTAACATTAACTTACAATAACAGGTATACTAACATTAACTTACAATAACAGGTATACTAACGTTAACTCTACAAGAAATCACACTCCTCCCTTTCTGTAGCTTCTTTTATTAGGCATCTTTTTGCTCTCTTCCTGAACTGGCCTTGATATGTTCAGGCAGTCCGTTCCACTATGCAATAAGTGTAGTAGTAGTGTATGTACTACAAAATTGTATTAAACTTCCCCTAGTTCTATACTGGTTTTAGTTCCCAACCTTGACAAACTCGGCAGCAAGATATTCTGGACTCTGTTGTGAGCAATTTTATAAACATGAATTAACTTCTGTTGTTTTACTGTCTTCAACATTCATCATATCCAATTGTTATAATTCATCCTGGCCTACATGTTCCCATGGACCCAGGTCCCGGATGAATCTTACTATATTGTTCTGGGTGATTTATAGTCTGTCATTTTTTTCTGTTAAAGCAGAGTATCATGAAGAACTAGAATAATCTACATGACACTGTATCAGAGACAGACATAGGAACCTGTGAGCCTCAGCAGGTAGACACTGTGCGTTAGGGAACATTGAAATTTTGGTGAAAGCTGCTCTCTTCAGTCATTGTTCCTTTTATACATCTTAGATTTAATGCCAAATATGAAGTTGATTGGTTAAGATTCAGCATTTGCGATTTAAATTTTTGAATATGTCTGTATTACTGAGTAGCGCAGTGCAGTGTTTTATGTACTGTATCTATGTACTCTGCAGTATTTATAAATATTAACTAACTTTCTTAGTGATTATGCTGGAGCTGCCATTGCTACCGCCACCTTAATGGACTATGGCATTATCAGCAAGGACGATAAAAGTCAAGTTATTGGACCACAGAAGCTACGAGATGCCAGACACAAATACCGAATGGAGAGGCAAAATATCACATCACTGTATTTTGATGGAAAGAAGACCTCCACTCGTGTAATGACAAAGAATGAGAAGACCAAGAAATGAAGTCGAAAGGTAGTGGTGGAAGATCATTACGTAGTGGAAGATCATAACGTCATCATGGTGGAGACCGGCACTGAATATCTCACTCATGTGACTCCCAAGTCAGGCCATGGAAAGGAGATTCCCAAGACTATCTACACATTTCTGGTGGAACAGAAACTAACTCAGCAGCCTGTTGTATGTGTTGGTTGTGATGGAACCAACGTAAATGTCGGAGCTGATAATGGAGCCATTCATCAGCTTGAAATGTTGCTTAGTTATCTGGTCCATTATTTCATCTGTCCGCATCATGGAAATGAGCTGCCATTCTGGGCTGTATTGTACCACTATGATGGTAAGCCAAGGTGTCCTGAGCATTGGAGAGGTCCCATTAGCAAGAAAATCAAGGATCCTCTGTCTGAGCTGCCAGTTGTTACTTTCCAACCAGTCATTTTCACTGGTTTCCTTGCACTGAATGACAAGGTAAAAAAGGATCTGTCCTGGGACCAGAAATACTTGTATAAGATTTGCAAAGGAGTGATCACAGGTGTGGTTGATGATGACTTGGCTGCTCTTGAACCAGGTCCACCGTGTGTGTCGAGGTGAAATACTTTATGGAGTAGGATCCTTAGGCTGTATGTGGCAACATCAAGACCCAGTCAGGAGCTGAAAAAGAGTCGTCATTATGATTTTAAAGTTTAGTATTCTAATGTGGTTCCACATCAAGCTGCACCATTATGGCACACACGGTCCAAAGAACGTCTTCCAGTCACTGTAATTTATGAGACATCTGAATAGTGAAGAAAAGAAAATAGTAAAGAAGACTGTCCAAAGAAATTCCTACTTTGTTCACACAGCTGCTTCTTGATATGTGCACTGATGAAGATATGACTGTGAGAGACAAAGCTGTCTCAGTGATAAGAAATATTATAGAAGATAATCAGCAAACAAAAGAAAGTACTGAGAGCTCTGATGAGGATGGAGAAGATTCTGCTGATGCTGTTGACGAGGACTTGCTAATCTACACTGATAATGAGGATGACAGTGAGGATGAAGAGAATAACAATGTGGCTCCTATTGTCAACTCAAGAAAAGTAGTGATTCCTTAACTAAAGTGGCAAGCAAAGAACTATCATTCCATGATTGACTGGAAGACTGAACTCAAAACTGAGCCTCCTTTCATTACTTCTCTATCAAATCAACAGTTTTTGAAAATTATTGATACTCCATTGGAGGTGCCCAAGTGGCCAAACAACACTTAAGCTATTGAGGAAGGGATAAAATTGATGACTGAAGCTTGCACTGAAGTGACTGGACGGAAGGCAAGAGATAGATATATCAGGCAAAGCATATTTTCCAGGAAAGTTATGCCCAAGTTCTGCACCAAGAAAGACTTCACTTATAACTTGTAGTAGTTTAAAATTAAATAGTTAATGATTGGTATAACCCATGTACATTTGATTATACAATCATCACAACCAAAAATTATATATTTCATTGGTGTATAATTCGATGAAAAGTCGATTGCGATGTAGCAGGGTAAATGGGCATGAAATGGTCTGAAATTTTGCACAGAAGTATGTTATGACCATATAAATAATGTCTGAAAAGTGCAGCTTGCATATCTAAAATTTGCATTTTTTTAATGTTCCGTACTGTGCCTGTCTATAGAGGAACTTGAGCCTGGCATTCGCTTTTTTACTACACTCTTCACTATTACTGCTCCTTACATGCTTGAGTCAAAGGAGATTCCCAGATAATTCACTGAAGATAATGAAGTGATAGGTTCCCCAGTACACTGGACATTAGAAGTATTTAACCTTTTCAGTTTACTTCTCGTGCCAAAGAGTATGGCTTCTGTTTTTCAGAGGTGTAGCGATAGTGTGTTGTCTACCAACCATTTGTGAGTGTTACCTGAGACTAACACAGCGCTGTCGTCTGCCTACAACTGACACTGATGCTCATGCTATTCACATAACAAAGAAATAGTAAAGGACTTAGAATATTACATTGTTCCCTATAATATTGGGCTGGACAATTTGTTTTCTATTTCTGCATTATGTTCGTTAAAAATACACTAAATCCGTATGGGCGGGTCAATAAAAGGTAGAAGAGATTCACACCACCAGTGACTTTACCTGTAGAGAGCCCAGAGTGCGTTGGAGAGGATAGAGTGCGTGAGGGGGGTGTTGGAGGAGAGCCAGAGTGCGTGGGCGATAGTCATGTTGCCGGCTGTGTTGTAGGCAGCCACCAGCCTCTCCTCCAAGCCCAGGGCTCGAACCCACACTCCACCAGAGAGATCACTCATGGCTCCACCAACACTGTAAGACAAAGTACATGACACTCAGTCTTACCTTGAGACATCATACGCCTGTGAAAACAAAATACATCAGTAATAATCACCTTCAAATATGTAACACTGAAGAACAGTTTTGCTGAATCACACGTTACTAAAATAAGTAGGAATAATAATATTATTAATTATTACAATGGTCTGCATGATTTTTTATTGACTATATGGTATCTTTTTCGGTATATATATATATTATATATATATATAAATATATATATATATATATATATATATATATATTATATATATATATATATATATATATATATATATGTCGTGCCGAATATGTAAAACTGGTCAATTAGCAAGAACTCTTTTAAAATTAAGTTTTTTCTAAAATTTTCTCTTATACGTTTAAAGATATATTTTTTTCATTAATGTTGATGTAAAAATTAAAATTTTTTGCACCAAAAGGAACTTAGAAAACTTACCTAACCTTATTATAACAAGAACAATTTATTTTAGCCTAACCCAACTAAATATATTTTAGATTTGTTTACATAATTTAATACTAAACAAACACAGTTTAAATATATTTTTTTCGTTAGGTTCAGAATGATTTTGGCGAAATTATTGCATACACAAATTTCACTTGTCCATATGGCAAGAAAGAGCGTTGTTTTTTAAGCCAAGATCGCAAGTTCTGCCTATTCGGCACGACATATATATATATATATAAGTAGTCGATTTTTCCACTGAGCGCACCCTTCCGGAAAAGGCCTTCCACTGAGGGGGCACCCTTCCGGTTAGGCCTTCCACTGAGCGCACCCTTCCGGTTTAGGCCCCTTTCCCCTGAGCGCACCCTTCCGGTCTAGGACCAGCAGCTGGAGGGCACCTTTTCACACCTAGGGTTTACTTCCGGTTTTGAACCATGGGCCTCGCCCTCGAGACTAAACCCCAACCCTTGACCCCCCAACCAATACCCCCACCCACACGACCCCCCCCCCCATCGCGACCCCACCATCGCGCCGCGCGCCCGCGCGCCCCCCCGCGCGCCCGCCCGCCGCCCCGCGCGCCCTTCGCGCGCCCGCCCGCCCGCGCGCCCGCGCGCCTTCTGCTGCGCCTTCTGCAGCGTCGTCCGGATCGCCCCCGCCCCCGATTTTTTTTTTTATGATCTCCTTGGATCCAGGGGGTTTTGATTCCCCCCCTATGGGGTTTCGAATTTTTTTTTTAATTTCATTTTCTTTTGCTCCCATCTCCTCGGATCAAATTTTTTAGATTCCCCCCTCACTTTCACCCCCATCCCAAAAATTTTCCCCAAATCAAAGTCCCACTCCTCGATCAAGTTTTTGGGGT